GAAGGCTCTAATCTGCACCAGAGTGATGAATTTCCTGATGGTAAAGGGCCCAGAGCTCACACCTGCTTGGCATGCAGAAGGCCCCAGGGACCATCTCCAACGGCCTCTCCAGGGAATGCTGAGAATGCCGAACACCTGAAACACTGGACAGCTGCTGCCAGTCAGTGCAGACACTCTTATTGAGATGGGCCAGTGTTTTTACACAGGACAACTTCCTATGTTCCTAGTACAGTGGTACCTCGGGTTAAGAACTTAATTTGTTCCGGAGGTCCATTCTTAACCTGAAACTGTTCTTAACCTGAAGCACCACTTTAGCTAATGGGGCCTCCCGCTGCTCCTGTGCTGTCGCCGCACAATTTCTGTTCTCATCCTGAAGCAAAGTTCTTAACCTGAGGTACTACTTCCAGGTTAGCAGAGTCCGTAACCTGAAGCGTCTGTAACCCGAGGTACCTAGTTCCTAGTAAAATGGAACTGAAGCAACTGTGGGGTGAGAAGCGAGACCCACAGCTCTGGGGCAGGGTGCCTGTTTTGCATGAATGAGGCCCCAGGGTCCCTCCCCAATGGCCTCTCCAGTCAAAGATGGTGTGCAGAAACCCTTTTCTGCCTGAGCTCTGGAGAGATGCTGCATCACAGCAGACAGTGCTGAGTTAGCAGAACTAATTGTCCGATTTCATAGCTGCTTGGGGACCCATGCGAAAAAGAGAGGCATTAATAATAATACTAAAACTGAAATACTAAAACACAATTCAGTTAAAGCTCAGTGATATCTGGGAGTTGCAGTTTGTTAAGGGTGCTAAAAGTTGTTCGGGAACCCTCATGGCACTCTGAGAGGTACTATTTTCAGAGTGGTCCAGCAATCAATCCCTCTCCCTAGGGAACTCTGGGATATGGGGCTTCCCAAAAACTCTCAGCACCTGTAACAAACTACAGCCCCCAGGATTCTTGGGGGAGGGGGGTCATGACTGTTTAAAGTGGTGTCACAATACTTTAAATGTATGTAGCTTTGGAGAGTTTGCCTTGTGCCCCAGCCCAGGGACTCGTTCATAAACTTCTGACACCAGCTGGCCCAGACTGGAAGAAGAAGAAGAGGAGTTTGGATTTGATATCCTGCTTTATCACTACCCGAAGGAGTCTCAAAGCGGCTACCATTCTCCTTTCCCTTCCTCCCCCACAACAAACACTCTGTGAGGTGAGTGGGGCTGAGAGACTTGAAAGAAGTGTGACTGGCCCAAGGTCACCCAGCAGCTGCAGGTGGAGGAGCGGAGATGCGAACCCGGTTCCCCAGATTACGAGTCTACCGCTCTTAACCACTACACCACACTGGCGTAAACGGTTGCCCCCAGAGGCCTGCAGCAACAAATGAAGCTAGGGGCCATGAAGTTTGGGGGGCGGGGGCGATAGCAACGAGGGAAAGAACCTGAATATCATGTCCTCAGCGGGTTCCCCTTCTACACACAAGCCCACCTCCTTGTTGGTGTTGCTACTCACTTGCCTCTCCTACTGGACTCAATCCTTAGCCCAGAGAGGAGGATAACACTTGGTGAGGCCTCCTATTTCCTCTCCCCTCACTGCTTTCAGGCATGTTCTCCCTGACATTTTGGTTAGCGAAATGGTTAAATATCAGCTAGCACTGCATATATTGTTGGATTTCAGCTCCCAGCAGTCCCAGTGGCCAGCATGGTGAATGGTCAGGGACAACAGGTGGTACAAACCAGCAACCTCTGCAGGGCACCTCTATTGACAGGGAGTCCCAAAGTCTGGGACCTCCGCAACAGAGAAGCCCCTTCTTTAATGTACCCACTTCACCTAGCATAGAACATGGACCTAGTGAGATAAACGAGGCAGATAAGAGTGGAGCCATCTTTCTGCAAGCTGAGCGTCTCTAGAAGAGCAACATCAGTAGGTGGTATCTAGTGGTGGTTCTGCATCCCTTCCCAGATTCATGGAATCACTGAGTTGGAATCATCTAGTCCAATCCAAATATGCAGCTGTCCCTTATGGGGATTGAACCTGCAACCCTGGCGTTCTCAAAACCACGCTCTGGCCAACTGAGCTATCCAGGCCGAGATGTCCTTCTGCTAGCACTAAATCACTTTAAACATGGCATCCCACAAAGAGCCCCAGGAAGTGTCGTTTGTTGGGGCTGTTAGGAGACCTGCTTATTCCCCGTCACAGAGCTACATTTCCAGAGTGACTTAACAATCAATCTCTCTTCCCAGGAAACTCTGGGAATTGCAGCTCTGTGAGGTCTCCTAACAGCTCTCAGATCCTTTGGAAGAAGCCATGGCTGCTTAAAGTGGCAAGATAAAGGAAATAGTGTAGATGAGACCTCTCTGTCAGGATAACTTTATGACTCTATCTGCCAGGCAGGATGGGCTGGGAAAGGCAGGTCCCTTTGCTTTGCGCAAGTTGAAGTGTTTCCATCAACGCAAAGCCTCCACTAGATGCAAGGGGGGAATGGAATTCAGTTTGCCTAATTCACACTTTATGAAACAAGGCACAAACCAAAACGCAAGCCATCCTTCAACATTCACATTTTTCTAAATTTTGCAATGTAACAAAAATCCACGTACCAGCAAAAAGTGTGCATGTTGTTAATGACAGACAAAGATGCATTATATTTGAGAAAATATAATCGCCTCATCCATTTTCCTGAGAACCTTTTCTTTTTTATTTGTTAAAATTGTAAACTGATGCGGCAATGTGGAGAACTGATCTTAAAATCGGAAAAATGAGAAACTGGGAGAACACTCACCCAGAGATACATCCCATAATAATTCATTTTCTGGCACTTCTGATGCCTTGGCAGGACTCAGATTTGTTTGTTTGTTTTGAGTCGCCAGGCCAACACAAAGCACCACTAAGGGTGTCCGACAATTAAAACCTAAGCGTGCAATATCCTTCAGACTATACCATTCTACCATTCTATGAATATATATCTAAAAAAAATACAGCATAATGAAAAGAGGGTCAGTGCAGATGAGAGAAAAAAAGCAACAGAAGCAACTGTATATATCCGTGTTTTTAAGAACGCACTCGCTCCTGCTGCCTCCTAAAATGCTAGTGGGTTATTCGAACACAGCTAGTTTTTTAACGCTGTCACCTTCCCACAGTATTTGGGTGGAAAGAGAAAACTCTCCGTTCAGAAAGGCGGGTGGCAGGCGCGGAAATACGGTCACGTGACCTGCTCTTCCATTGTCTGATTTCGTAGGAGGAGGCCAAAGCCCAGGAAGCCCAGAAGCAAATGGCACGTGTTGCCAAATCTAATTCGTCTGTCACCCTCCTCTCCCATCGCCACCGTTGCTATAGTATGTTTCTCAGGCAACAGCCTTAGGTTGTTGTTTTTTCTAGAATGTGTATCTGGGTGGAAGCAAGATACTGAGGAGTACCCACTTCTCAACAAAACTAGGTTGTGGGGCTGGTGAAACGCAGTTCAGGGGCTGAAGCTGAACTGCAGGCCAGAGAGTCCCCCGTCTGAAACTCAACCCTGCCACGAATAGAAGTCACAATCCCTCTCAGCCTCAGTCCCTCCCATCTCTAATGATGTACAGTGGTACCTCGGCCTATGAACAGCCCTGTGAATGAACTGTCTGGTGAACCAACTCCGCAAAACCAGAAGTAGGTGTTCCAGTTAGCGAACTGCCACAGAAGCCGAACGGTGGCAGGGAACTGGCGATGGGAGGCCTCAGTAGAGAAAGCACACCTTGGTTTAAGAATGCTTTGGTTTAAGAACAGACTCCCAGAACAGATTAAGTTCATAAATCGAGGTACCACTGTACATCAGTAATGATGTTCCTTCCTTCCAGCATTGTTGTAAATATTTGCAAAGCTGCCTACATAGAATCCTAGAATGTAGAGCTGGAAGGGACCCCAAGGGTCATCCACTCCAACCCCCTGCAATGAAGAGTTTTGGGCACACATTGCTTCCCTATGTACGAACCTACTCTGCTGACTTGGGCCTCTTGGAGCACCTACCCCCAGAGCTCTCTACTCGTGACTGGCAGCAGTGCTCCAAGGCATCAGATAGAGGAGCATGGAGCATTATATGGAGGCAGACCATCTAGTGCAGCACCGCTTGAGAACCAGTAGTTCTCAAAACCTTTTCCTCTGGCCCCACTTTCAGAATGAAACATTTGTTCATGAATTTTTTAGTGATAAGAAATACAGTGGTACCTCGGGTTACATACACTTCAAGTTACAGACTCCGCTAACCCAGAAATAGTACCTCAGGTTAAGAACTTTGCTTTAGGATGAGAACAGAAATTACTTAACCCGAGGTACCAGTACCTCAGGTTAAGTACTTAATTCGTTCCAGAGGTCTGTTCTTAACCTGAAACTGTTCTTAACCTGGAGCACCACTTTAGCTAATGGGGCCTCCTGCTGTTGCCGCGCCGCCGGAGCATGATTTCTGTTCTCATCCTGAAGCAAAGTTCTTAACCTGAAGCACTTTTTCTGGGTTAGCGGAGTTTGTAACCTGAAGCGTATGTAACCCGAGGTACCACTGTACATTGGAAAACAAAAACAAACAACTCCTAGCAGTGCTTGATTTTTAACCTAGAACACAACTACTTTATGATACAATCATGGGAAAGTATAAAACAATGCTAGTACGTAAGAACATGAATCACACCCCAAATATGAAACTGATTGCCCTTGACTCTTCCTGCTGCACTTGTCCCCCTCTCCTGCCTTGCCCTTCGAGAACCCTGGTCTACCTGGACTGGAAGCAATGGCTCTGCAGAGTTTCTGGCAGGGGTCTCTCTCAGTCCCGGCTGAAGATCCTGGGGATGAAACCTGGGACCTTCTGAATGAAAAGCATGTGCTCCACCGCTGAGCTAGATGCCTTTCCCAACTCTGCCACCCAGCTCCCCGAAGGGATTGTGGGAGGGAACTGTTCAACAGTGAACCATCTCTCACGTCTGCTATTCCAACCAATGGCTGGCCAAGGGTGCACCAAAACAGTAAGACCTAGCAAGAGAGGCGTTACTGGAGCTCCTTACCTTTAGGGAGTCAAAGCAGGCGATAACTCGTCCATTTTCCACATGGCAACTCCTTGAAGGGTGGGCAAACTTGCACTCTGTGTCAGAGCGAGAACAAGTACCTCTCTGAAATTCTCGACATACTTCTAAGGTCAGCCATTTTGTATCACGAACCAAAGAAACGTTCACAGCCATTTTTAAAAAAATAAAAGAAACCACCCCCAAAAAAAGGAAGGGGGAGGAGAGAAAAAGGAAAACGCAAGAAACCACACCCCTCCTTCAGGAGAAATAGTACTGCTGATCTTTCAAAGAAGAAGAAGAAGGGGGGGGGGATAAAAAAGGGGATTCAAGTTTAAAAAAAGTGAAGAAATAACTAACTTGTTGCTTTGGTAAACTTTTCTATTTGTCAGCACTTAGGTTTCCATTGAACTCAAATTGTGTTTGTTGAAAAGAAGGATTAAACATAAAGCCAATCATAAAATAGAAATCTCATCAGAATTAACTGAAAAGTCAAATTAGAGGCCAGCTCCTAAAAGTGCAATTCTCGAAGTCAAAATAGAAATGTTATATATATATATATATTATATATATACCTATATATCGATATATATAATTCTTTTTTTGTGCCACTGCCAAAATTATTCTTTCAAAATAACTGGCAGACTTTTTATTTCCCCCTCCAAAGGATTATTCTGTGCTCTCCAGTTACTGGTTTCAATTATTCTCACGCTGAAAAAAGGAAAAAGGAAAAGTCATTGCTGGCGATGCTGCAGGTGGACCAGAGTTGGTTGGTTTCGTGTCTTGACAGGGGAAGAAGAGGAGCTGCAAGCAGGAACCAACAGAAGTTGGTTTTTTAAAAAAAATTCCGTTTTTTCCTTTCGTTTGGAATATTTTAGTAAAGAGAGACCGTTAAGTCTGCTACATAGTCAGGAGACAGGGGAATGGCAGAGCAAATCTGAGTTGTAAAATGGTTAGGAAGAATTTTTTTTTGGGGGGGGGGATTATAAAGATGGATGAGTTGCTATCAGGATATGAACTGCAAGCAACGCCAAACTTTGGAGAAAGGAAAAGCAAAAATAAAAAAGAGAGGGATATCTATATATATCAATAGATATATATATAGATCTATATACACACACGTATAGATATATGTATATATATAATTTTTTCCCCAAAAAGCGAGCGAGGCAAAGCCCTGGACGCAAATCCAAGCGGTGGCGGCGGCGGCGGCACAGGATTCAAGGAAGGCACTTTTCAGCTACCTGCGAAAGAGAAGAGAAAAGTGTCAGCTGAAGCCCAAGGCAGCTCCCCACCCTAAAGCTTCCAGCCCTCTCTCCGGAAAGCAAGTGGAAACTCATTTTCAACAGGAAAAACCTCTAGATACTGACAGTGTGGCATTTTGAAGGCAGCCGCGGTAGGTGTTTGTATTAAAAAAATAAAAATAAAAATAAGAGAAGAGAGAGTCAGAGAGGAAAGAAGGACATTTCTCCACACGGAACTGCGCATGGCACAGAGGAAGCAACCAATTACATTTACCGTTGCAGCAGAAAGCCTGGGCAGGCATCCAGTAAAAAAGGTTGTTGCATATTGATTTAATTCTAGCAGACATTCTCCCTCGTTTTCTGCCTCTTGCACAGTTTCTCTCCCTGCCCCCCCCCCCCCGCCCAGTGCACGGGGAAAATGCCTCCACCTGGCGTTGCGGCAGAGGGCCCTCTGGTGCGCCTGGGATGTGCCGCCGGGTTCCCAGCAAGAGCCAGCCACTGAGTGGGGAGGATCTGCTTATGCACAGGCCACTCTGACCGAGAGATGTGGCGAGGCGTCGCTGTCGTGTGCAACAATCCACCCCTGGCACAGCTGGAAGCTCTCCGTGGCAGAGCGAGCATTCTGGAAAGGGCCCTTGCCCCCTTGCCACCCCCTCCACCAATTCCTCGCTGCTACTGCTGCCCCCTTCTCCAACCCAGAGTGGCTGGTCGTGGCAGGGTGCCACTCTCAGAACACAGTTGGGCAGAAAACTGGGTGGGGAAACCTTGACTCTGAGGGCGTCCACAGACAAAGGAAAAATAAACTACCCTTCTGCTCTTTTTGCGGCACCATAAATCATTGTGGAAGGAAGTGTGCTTTGCACACACGCATCTGGTGGGTGGGAAATTTCATACACCCCCCCACACCCCCATCTCCTCATAGCAAACATTTGCCTCTGGGAGGCGGAGATAGCCGGGTGCAAAGAACTGTCTGCCGACAGAGGCTCAATGCTCTGTCTCACCCCATTAACTGCTACAGGTCCGTCATGGATTAGGGTTAACCCTCTGCATGCTAGCTGAAGATTCAGTGACTGAGGTTTCATTCAGAAGGAAGAAGCTCATTCGTTCGCCAGGCGGTTTTTCTTTTCTCCCCTCCCGCCAAAACGAGAAGAAAAGCCCAGAGTGAAACTTAAGCCTTCCATTGAAACAGAGGAGGATTTACTATTTAGAATATTAACTCCATGTCTGCATAAAAAGTCTGTGCGTGTTCAAGTTCCAACATTATTACAGTAGTACCTTGGGTTACAAATGCTTCGGGTTACAAACTCTGCTAATCCGGAAGTAGTACCTTGGGTTGAGAACTTTGCCCCAGGATGAGAACGGAAATTGTGCGGTGGCGGCAAGGCAGCAGCGGGAGGCCCCATTAGCGAAAGCGTGCCTCAGGTTAAGAACGATTTCAGGTTAAGAACGGACCTCCAGAATGAATTAAGTTCTTAACCCGAGGTACCACTGTATTGCAGTCAAACCTTGCTTCCCAAACGCCTCCATTTTGGAACATTTTGGCTCCCAAACGCTGAAAACCCGGAAGTAAATTGTTCCAGTTTTTGAATATTTTTCGGAAGCCGAACATCCGACATGGCTTCCACTTGAGTGCAGGAAGCTCCTGCAGCCAATTGGAAGCTGCGCCTCTGTTGTCGAACATTTCAAAAGCTGAGCAGGCTTCCAGAATAGATTACGTTCAACAACCAAGGTTTGACTGTTTTTGATGCAACAGTGCCATATTTCAACAAATGCTTGCTGGATGTTAGGAGTGCAAAAAGAACACAGAATCGCCGAACGTTTGCAGGTAGGGAGGTATTACTGCCATCAACAGCTGATGAACTAAGATAATCAGAAGCAGTTGGCTTGATCAGATTGAAAGGTCCAGCCATCAGGGGCCTTCTGTAGAGGCACAACGGCAAATGCTCTCTCCACTGTTGCTCCCCAGGAACAATTGCATATCAGTTTGCAATCTTTGGATTTATTTCAGTACACTTCTATAACAATTGGTACACTTTTAAAAAATAAAAATATCTCATTTACAAAAGTTAAGCACCCACCAAAATATAAAAGCAAACGTGCAAACCTCAAAAGCACAAAAGTGGCAGATTAATGCACAAGATAACCAAAATGTTAAAAATGCCGTGCACATATGGAGGGGGTTATGTGCCCAAGAAAAGAAGGAGGTTGCCAGGCACATAAGAGGTAGCAAAGTTGGTGCCCGTCAAACACACAGGGAAGACATGTCACAATTGGGGTGCCACTGCCGAAAAAGCAGCCAGGAACGCAGCTGCCACCACTATGCCAAGAGTCCTGCTTGGAATGTTTCTGGGTTTTTGTTTTTAACTGCATCTGAAACTACATGAGCATCCCAGCCCAGCCTGGGTGGTGGAAGCAAAGACCAGGATAAAGGAAGTTACTAGCTAGGCAGGGAACTGAACAAAAAGAGAAGCTGAAGAGCATTCAGGTGACACTGTGTGTTAGTATGCTCCAGGATTGGAAAGCTGGGAGATCTTGGTTCAAGTTATACCACAGACCCATTTGAGGCTTATTTCTCTCAGAGAAGGTCTGCATCTACCAAGGAAGCCTGGGGGGACGGGGACGGGACGGGACAGGAAACAGGAATGCCTTACACTTCCCATTTCCTCTTGTGCATCACCTTCCTTGCACAATTATTATTATTAATTGACTGAGCTATTTATATCCTACCTTTAAGAACTTACAAACAAAATACAAAATATGGTAATCAGGTAATAAACTAAAGAGCGTATTTCAAATACCTTATTGGGGTGTGGGGTCTTCAGACCACACCTGTAAGCTGACATAAAGGTGGCCTGGCATAGCTCCATGGGAAGCACATTGCACAATTTAGTGGAGCCACCACTAGAAAGACCCTGCACTTAGTGTTCACTGTTCTGCTCTCCCTTAGAGGCAGGCTGAAGTGTCTGAAGTGAATATCTCAACACTTGGGGCAGGCTTATTTGATCTGAATAGCCTAGAAATGATTTGATCTGAATAGCCTAGAAATGAGGCTGTTCAGTTTGGGATGCTTTACGAGAAATGTGAGGTGCAGGAAGTGCACAAATGCACTGTATTATCTGTGCATCCTACTGCACCTGAAGTCAGAGACTTTCAAATCAGGAAGAGCAGCGAACCAACACTTTTTGAAAGAGCAGGAAGCAACCTTTTAAGAAGTCAGATCATTTGATCCATCTACTGTGTACTGTCTGGCAAAAAAACATTTTCTGTGGCTGCAAAAAAAACCCTTATGTCTTCTAACAGGGGTCTCTCCGACTGGAAAGGCCAGGGAATCTGCCCCCACCCCACATTTTCTATAGGAAGGTTTTTATTTGAAACAAACCAGACAAAACAGACTGCATGTTCAGAAATTATGCAAATTGCCACTGGGTAATAATCTAGCCTAGCCTTTGGTGCTCTCCAGCTGCTCTCCCATGAGCCTCAGCGAGCATGGCCAATGGTCAGGGGTGATGGGACCTGAAGTCCATAATATCTGGAGGGCCCCAGGTTGGGAGGCAGTTGATCTAATCCTTTTGAAAAATCCCATCCTTCCATTCTAGGCAGCATTCTGGGGGCCACATGCCAGCAGTATGTATACCCCAGATGTCAAGGAAATAAACAACTATCTGACTTTTAGAAGACATCTGAAGGCAGCCCTCTTTAGGGAAGTTTTAAATGTTTGATGTTTTATTGTATTTTAAATCATTTGTTGAGTGGTTGGGGAAACACAGCCAGATGGGCAGGGTATGTATGTATGTATGTATGTATGTATAAATAAATGATGATGGGCGGGGCCAGAAGCAAAAGTGGGAGGAGCAACGAAGGCAAATTTTACCTTTGTACACTAAGCTACATTCTACACACATTCTGCCCCTGGGACTAAGGTTCTGCACACCTTAACAGCTGGAACAGAGGAGGTCCATCTCTTGGTGCCCTCCTTTCTAGAGGCGAGCCCAGCAGCAGCCAGATAGACTGACTTATTACCATTATTTAAATGTATTTGATCATTTGACCATTATTAACAATGATCAACAACACTGCTCCAGAAAAAATTGTCTTCAGATCGTAATATTCGCCAAGAAAATAGGACTTAACATCAAATTACAATATTTCTTCTAAAGAAAAGCCTCAAAACCTACTTGAATTTGCCTTTGCTGGAGGAAGTTGTTTTCCCAATGATATTATTCAAGGGGCAACCAGTTTTCCCAGAATGCGTTTCTGTATTCACTTGCAATTGTCACTCTTATGTAAGATGGCTCTTACAGCCAAGTCCCAAACCTTAAGCTTTTCTTTCCATGAAGGGAGTAATACAACTTTCCAGCTTCAGGCCGTTTACATCCTTGCAGCTGCTGAGAGAACACAGAGTCAAAGAGTTTGGGGGGGGGTCATCTAGTCCAACCCCCTGCAATGCAGGAATCTTTTATTCAACTTGAGGCTCAAATCCACACCCTGAGATTAAGAGTGACTGAGCTTGGACACTTTAGACATGCAAGGTTCTTTCTTTATGACAGGAGATGGCCTTTTTGGTAGTGGCGCCTATGCCTATAAAATACCCTCTCCAGTGACCCATGTACCTTGTTTTCAGCCAGGCCTTTCATGATCCTAGTGGGGATTTTTTATTATCTATGAGTTGTCGACACAATGAATGGTAGTTTCATGAACCTTTCCCAGGTCTACCTAGATATGTCAGGGATGGAACCTGGGACCTCCTACATGGAGAACACACACGCCTGGGCTGTAGGCCTTTGCTAAAAATGGGACTTTTAAATAGGATCCAGCAGGGCTCTTCTGTTCTGTACACAGAATAACCTAGCATCACCAAACCCATCCACACCCAACTGGCTCTGAATAAATTATACTATTATTATTATTAATAATAATAATAATAATAATAATAATTTATAGCCTGCATTTTTTCCTGATGGGACCCAAGGCTAAAGCAGCCCTAAACCACGAAAAACATA